AATATAAATAATAATAAATAGCAGAGCAAAAGTGCATTTGCCAAAAAGCAAAAAGCCAGCCTCTGCAAAAAATCAATAAAATTTTGCCAAAAAAGAAGAAAATCTGCGACAGCAGCAGCAGCAACATTAACTAGCAACAACAACGAACAACAAACCAAGCAGCAGCAGCAGTACCAACTTTTTTCTTATAGCCTACGCTGACATCGCAGTCAACGTCAACGTCAACGTCGTCGTCGCCCAACGTCTTGTACTGTATTTTTATAATATATACACACACACATGCGAAAGTGCCTGTTTATGCGTGTGTGCCTGTGTGTGTGTGTGTGAGCAGCAAATTTACATTAAGCAGACAGCTAAGAAGCAGGAAACTGCGTCTGGCAGACAACAACAACAACAACAGCAGCAGCAGCAGCAGCAGCAGGAGGGGCAAAGACAGCCGACAGCAGTAACTAGGAAGTCACAGCTAGCGGTTTATTATTGTATTACTAAAACATACACACACATACGCACGCGCGCACACCCACACACACATATATGTATATATATACATATATATAACTTGGAAGCCAACTCAAATTACATAAATAGCAATAAGGCCTCAAGCCGCGGCCGACTCAGTACAACGAACTGCAGCTGCAGCACTATTTTGCATAGCAGCAGCAGCAGCAGCAGCAACAGCCACAGCCACAACAGCAGCAACACCAACAACAACGAAACTAACAGCAACAACAATTGCAACATTTTAAAGTTCAGGCATTTAACAACAGCAACACAGCGCAAAGCCACAAACCTATGGACAATGCCTATGTCTACTATAAGGTATTGTAGTTGGCTGCAACAACAGCAACAATCGTAACAGCAACAACAATACTAACAACAAACAAAATGCGCTCAATCAGTCAATCAATCAATCAATTCATCAATCCATCAATCAACATCAAGTCAAAGCGACAACAAATCAAAACAAAACTAAATGTCAGCCACATCAATCCAACAGACAAGCACATGCATATACACATGTCACACACACAGCTATACCTGCAACTACTACAGTTCATTCAGTTCATCAAACCGGGTTTCTCATTACATCATTACAAATCAAATCAAACAAAGTGAACTTCATATCAAAGCCCATCAAGAACTGGCAACTGCAAAATGTACCCCAACAACACATACACAAATACACTCACCAACTCTATCTCTATCTCTGTCCCCCACTAAACATAAAACTCTCTAAAATACGCATAGTTGCTCCTGCCCTGCCCCTGCCCTATCTATTAATTGCCCTTCAATCAAATAACAAAAAAAAAGCAAGCGCAGCGACGCCTGCATAATATATGCGACACGTTAAAAGAGAGCGGAAGAATGCTAGAGTGGAAGGGAGAGAGAGTGAGAAAGAGAGAAGACGATGCGCGTAACGGTTGGGCAGGCAACTGCAACCCTTTGGGAAGCGCAGCGGCCTTGTTAGACTAAGAGATGCTCTCTTTTACAACAAAATCTTTTTAAAATATTTATTTGCATTTATTTTTTTAATCTATCAAACTATAAGGTATATATGTGTGTATATATTTATTATTATATACTATATATACCTTCTTGGCCTTCTAAGGGGCTATGGCTGCTTATCAGGCACATTTACATATATTTCAGTTTCTTTCATTCTTCAGAGGCAGCATTGCTTAGCCTAGCCTACCCCTTCAATAGCACTTCAAGTATAGGATATGCAGTCTCCTATTGAGTATATATGGTATATATTTATATATTTACACGTTTTCAACTTTGACCTTTCAACTGCCCAATAGACACCTTCAATAGCACTTTTCGGAATTTTGAGGATATACGGCTTCCTATAAAACACACACATACATATGTATATACACGTTCTATATATACTATAGATGCTTAAGAACCTGCTTTTAATCTTTTAAATATACCCCTCTAAGTAAACTATCACTATAGGGTATCAACAGCTGCGGATTGCTTTGGACTTGCCTTAAAGGCTTTTATTTATGAGCATAGTAATTTTTTTTTTTTTTTTTTTTGCAATGCACGCAATTACAGCAGAAGAAGAAAGAGAGAGAGGGAGAGAGAGAGAGAGACGAGGGGCGGTAATGAGGGCTGTGCAAGCATTAAAGTTAGTTTTTGCTTGTTGGCCATAACTTGTGTTTCAATTTGTGGCCAGAAGAAAAGAGCTTTAAAAACCATAGCATACTTTTATGCTAATCGAGTCGTAAAACGATAAAGCAGCCAAGTGCCTGCCCGCCTGTGTGTGTGGGCGAGCGTGTGCAGCCCACACACACACCAACTGTTAGCTGTGTGTGGGTTTTGCCTTTTAAAGGTCAGCATGCGTAATTAGTGAAATTTGGCATCGACGCTTAACAAATGAAGGAAAGAACATATAAACGAATGAGCTCAAGTGCATGCTCACCAGGCACACACACACCAATAGGGAACGTATGTGTGTGTGTCTGTGTGTGTTTTTGTGTCTACTCAAAATGAGGAACGTGCAGACATGCACAACGCTCAACACAATGCAAGTCGTCCGTGACGTACGACCATCCGCTCATTAGCAAAAAGCCAAACCCCCTTCTCAATTGTTCTAAATGCGACAGACACAACTGAATGGATGAATGTGTGTGCGTGTGTGTRTGTAGGGGTGTGTATATGCCTTGGTGTGTTTCTGAAAATAAGCTTGCAGTGTAATATGACACCTTGATACCCAGTATAACTAGTTAGCTGCAATTGAGATAAAATGTTTAAAATCAAAGTAAACTTGATTTTATATGAGGAGCTTGGCTTACAGAGAAAGAAAGAGAGGCAGAGAGAGAGAGAGAGTCAGATCTATTGTAGTAGTGGTGGAATAAAAGTTAAATAAGCTTATGAGTTGATAAATACAAATCAAGTCCTCAAACCAAGCCATCATCTAAGACTAGTTATCTCTGCCTAAATTGAAAGATTCCCTTTGGTAAAAAAGGTTACTAAAATCCATTAAAACTAATTATCTGTTCGATCAGTCTTTAGCCTTAGCTCTCAGCTTTTAAATGCAGTCCGAATAAGTAGGCAATGAAAATTTATAGTTTATACAAACATAAGAGAAACCTTTGACCTTGAAGACTTCTTAGGCTGGATAAAAATAAGTTAAAAACTGAAACCCACTCAGCGGGTTACATACTTCTTTCTTCTTCTGATTAAATCAATTCGTGGTGTAAGCAGTTTTGTAGTTCTTCGATCCATAGAAGATCAAGGATCTCTAGAACAGATGAACTCTTGGAATTTGACCTCTAAAATTTTACAAAAATCAAGTAAGAAATTATATACATATCAAAATGTAGCAAGCCTAATTACAGGGTATATTTGCAGCAGCATTAAGCTGTGGCTTTTGCATGCCAGCACACCAAATGTGCTCTGCACTTCATAAACAACACTTGAAATACTTTCATGTCGGGCCAGAACACTCGCACACATACAGACAAAGCCAACTGCAATCGCACGTGCGTGAGATGCGACAATTGAGAGAATGTGACATTAGGGTATAGGGTATATATATAGCATATATATAGAGAGTGAGAGTAGAGAGTGGGGATACCAAAGCTCAAATGAGATTTCGTCTGGCCTTGTCAACGCGCTCGAAACGTGATTATTTTGTGTTAATTGCAACAAAAAAAAATAAATAAATAAAGGGAGCTCGAGTATATATGTACATATATATCATTATATGTATGTATATTTGGAACTTGCCAAATGACATGGGCGTGGCCAATAGGGCGGCAGTCATAAAAAGCGTCTGGTTGAGCCTTGTTTTACAATCTCATTTTATGTGTTTATTTTTAATTTTCATGATTTGAGCCAAACACGCAGCAAATGAAAATAGCAAAACTCAGAGGCACACACACACAGACACCCATATATATATACACTACTACATGTGTACTTTTGCACTTAACACACTTATTGTTTGGCATTTTTTGTTCTTTCTCTCTCTCTCTCTCTTTCTTGCCTTTAGCTACTTCGCTTATTTTCGTTTTTTTTTTTCATCTTCTTTTTCATTTGCTTTGCCATTTTTTTTCTTTGTCTTGGTGTTTCATTTCATTTCTATTCAAGCAGCGCCCCCTTGTCTGGCCGCAGAGGGTATGCCGACTCTCTCTCTCTCAGTCACTCTCTCCCTCTCTTTGTCCCTTTCGCGCTCTAGCTAACATCCCCCTTGAGCCTTAACAGTGAGACTTCGTTATTTTGTTCTCTGTATACACACACACATAGCGAGAGAGACGCCCACAAACAACACTTACTGTTAAGCACACATACACACAAACTCACACACTCTCACACACACACATAGCGACACACATGACGTATACATAATAACCTTGTAACCAAAAATGTTGTTATTTCGGGCTCATGTGTATAAGTGTGTGTGTGTGTGTGTGTGTGTGTGTGTGCGACGGCTTTTTATTTTCCTTTGTGTGTATGTGTGGGTTCTTGGGATTATTTGAAGTGTGCAAGTCACTTTACTTGCTCACCTGTTCTATCTGCCCACCTGACTACCTCTCTCTCTCTCTCTCTCTCTCTCTCTCTCCTACGTATGCTGTGTGTGAGCTGGCATAATTTCTAAATTTATACTTTAAACTCGCAATTCCAAAACGTGCCTTTAGTAATACCTAAAATACTCACACAGACACCTACACACACAAATATACATATATATTCTTACAACAACTTATTTTCTAAGTGTTGGTGTTTATTGTCGTGTGTTTCAAATTAAATGTTATTCATGTATACATATACATATACTTATGTATATGTACATATATATTATTCGTTCTTTTTATATTGCATATCTACAATATATTTCACAAATTTTATGATCTCCCTGGCAAACTTCTAATTTCATATTTCAAGTTCAGTTGAAAGTGAGAAACTTGCATTTGTATACAAAATTGATGTGTAGTTTTTATTGAATTAGTATTAAAGTATTTCATATAAATCTTAATTACTCATTACAGTGTATTTTTATATAGTTACATATGATTTGGATGAATTATATATTTCTTCAAACATCAAAATATCATACTGTAGCTATAATATAGCGGTTTACTCTTATATCACATAAATCAAACATATATTATGAGAGAATATTATTAAAATCAATGTCTATTCAAATGCTCCAATCAATGAGATTGAATACTTAGAAGAAGAATTCAGTATATTTGTCTAATGTTTCAATTTAAGTTTTCTATCAATTTAATTAAACTTAAATCAATCTAATGAAGAAGCTTTCAAGTTAGGAAAAAGGGCTTAAGACTTTTTTATTAGTAAGAAATCTGCACATACAAATTTTGATATACAATTTGACAAGTACCACAAATCTGTTGCCTTAAAAATGCTTTTCGGAAAACACTTAATTGCATCACGCTTTTTATTTTATTTTCTTCAAAACTTTCTTCAGTTTCTTTAGCTAATTGTAGAGCTATATATGACAACAAATTTCAATACAGTTTGCAACCTTTTTTCAATTTTTAAGTAGCATTTTGTGGAACGTTTTTTGAATTTCTTTTCTTGCTGTTTAATCCTTAACCAAAAGTAACATATATATACATATTTATATA